AATAGTGTAAAGCCGTATCAAAAGTAAAACCGAATTGCGTCCGACTTAGGTTAACGCATCGCACTCAACGTACATTATTTAGAGCAAACGCATACATGTCCAACGTCATTTTGCGTCCGATGAGTATTCTCGATGTACTAGAACAGGGATGGCAAACCCATGGCACGTGAAAAGATTTTGCGGGCACGCGAAAATTTTTTCTATTAAATATTATATAATATAAATAATATTGTAGGACCTATAATATAATATTATGTAATATAAATAATTAACAAAGCAATATTATTATAATTATTATTATTATTATGTACCTAAACTAATCTTTTTATACTAATAATACATTAATTATACAATCAAATTATAATATAACAAAATATAATATTTTTAATATTTTTTTCATGGCACGCTTTATAAAAAAAAAAAAAAGGTAATTTTTGGCACGCAGGGTTTAAAAGGTTTGCCATCCCTGTACTAGAACGTGGTTGAACGCGTAGGAGTACACTTGTGTTTTGTTCATAATGTCTACACGTAATATGCAAAAAAATATTATACTCGCAGAGAGTGTAGGTGTAAAATATTATTTGTACAAAAAATACATAAAAAAATAAAATTAAATAAATTCTATTTAGAAAAATCGCAAAATGTGCACAATATAAATATGTCTGGGGTGATTATTTGCCCCGTGCGCTGTACGACGGGTAAGTATTAAATAGATGAATACGTTCGTCTGTTTTTGCGTCCGATGCGTCAAAAAACAAAGTGATTTGTTTTTCAAATCGTGCGGCGAGTACGACCGATGCGATGTCGGACGGATCTGACACAAACCCCATCCAGATTGGACAGATCGCATCATAGTAGGTTTGTTTTAAATTTCGGTCGTATCGGTCGCGACGTATCGGACGCAACAGACGCAACGGATTTACGTTGGACACGGCGTAAAACGTTTTCCTTCCATCGATAGACTATACGCATTATATCATTATTTTATTATGATTTAAGGAAAAAACGTGATTTTAGAGTAAATTTTTCTTTCACTTCGCAACGATTGTCGATTACACCAATTTACCCAGACTCAGTACGCAATTGTATAATAATAGTATCTTGTATACACCCTGACATTATACATGTGAGATTATATACAACTTAGTATTATTAACTACGTTGCATAGATTCGTGCCACGAAAGCCGAAAGTAGGAAATAATAGTATAATTATATAGAGATCAGGTTAAGTTTAATATGTATAAAATTAAATTTCGAATTTATGTCTTATCGTTATTGAACTTGCCTGGAAATCGTAATCAACACTTTATATTTATGAATTCATTAAGTACATTATATTAGCGATAGTTTTTAAATCTTTTTATAGGTGTAAGAGCTCATACATTTTCCGAAACGAATATTTGATTATTATTAATGCAATGACTTTCATTTAACATTGGTCGATGATCTTTAATTTTATTGATCGAAAATATAATATGCATAATAAAAATTGAAACGAATATTATAGGTTATAAAATCTGTAATTAGTTCTTCTATATGTTATACTTAGCAACATGAATCCTGGGTGCTGGCAGAAGCGGATTAAAGAGGGGGAGGGCTATAGGGGCTGAAGCCCCATTTTTAGACATTAGATAGAACCATTTCAGACGTAGGTACTTAAAGTATTTAAAAAATTAGACGTAAGAAAGACTTTGTACAAATCGATAGGCGCAACGAATTATGGCAGTAACTCACTTTACTAGCCCCTCTTATTTCATTTATAGATCCACGCCTAAGTGCTGAGTGTTCCAAACTTATTGAACATTCTTATATTTACGATAAAATAATAATAAAAAATCGGTAAATTTTTTGATTTCTTTGTACGTCGTTTAAAGTAAGATAAATATTTATTATAACGTACTTTGGGTCACGGTCCGTTCTGTACAATGTAAAATAGAATAAAGTACTACTGGTAGAAAAAAAAAAAACGCGTCAAATACAATAACAAAGTTATTATGCAGAGGAATGTATAATTTCGTTGGAAATTGCTTGTTAATAAATCATTGATGCAAAACAAAAACAAATAATAATTAATTATTATTTAGTTTTGTTGAAGGAATGATTTTATATTGTACCAATACCACAATACCATCTATAATGTACATACATATTCGATAGATGCGTTTCGAATGACTCAAATCTGAACAATTACGTGGAGGTGACCGGGGGGGGGGGGGGTTCTAATTACTATTCGTAAATATTGTCCGTTTTGTGTTTTACCCATTGTCAACGCCAATGCTGAGCAGCTAGCTATTTGTTCGGTTCGCCGTCAAATCCTTTTATTACATTATTTGTCATGTCTATATACATAATATACACCTCTTCGTCATCTCTCCTTTGTATATAATTCACATATGATTGCAGTTGGTTCTGTTCTTTTACAATACCTTAATTCTACCGATATTTTTTGTGGATATAATTATTTACCAGAAGGCATATGGTATAATACTGACCAAGGTATCTAGTGCACAGTTCTAATTACAGACGCAATATCTCCATTCCTAACTCCGTTCCTGAAAGGTTGGCTTGTAGTACATTTTTTAATGTAGTTTTTGATGTAATTGTTACCTGTGTTGGGACTTATCTAGATAGATTTTTTGTCATCTTTTATCTTATCTAGATAAATAACACTAAGTTATCTAATTACTTATCCAAGATACAATTTTTACCTATCTAGATAAATGTCTGTATTCTTGTCAAGATTAGAGTTATTTTTATTCTTGTACGGAGACGAATCCAACAAATCAGAGATCATCAAAATCGATCCAGCCGTTCTTGAATTATAAATTCTGTAAATAACCTGACTTTCTTTTATACATATAGATTTTTTATTCATAATCATAATTCGTGCATTGTTAATAAGTAATTATTATTTCTTGTTATGATATTTTTTTGTATTTTCATATCGGGAAAATAGTTTTGGTATTTTTAAACTTACTTTCTTATTTTTTCATGTTAAGTTCCAAATAAAGTAGGTATTAGATTTTAGTATGCACATGTAACTCATACGCTGAATAGTCATTATTTCACTCTTGGAACCCGTAAAGTCGTAACTACTTATAGAATAATGAAAATCATCAAATTATTATTATATGGAAAACAATATTGTTAACTTAAAATAATTTTTTATGTATTCTGTATTCATCCTGATACGTACAGAGCAATTTTCATTTTTTTTTTTTTTTTTTTTGTGTAACATTTTAGTGATTAACTATCATTAAATATTGTTCATTATATATAAATACTACTTAATGGTACACAACATAACTACAATAAACATTAAACACCTAGGTATCTATTGATAATAATGATTATATTTGAGTCTTCTTAGATATTATTGGAATATGAAATATTGACCAAAAAATAAAAATTTTTGAAAATATCTTTTTTTTATCTAGATAAAAATGAAATTATCTTTTTTCTCTATATAGATATTTTAATTTTTTTTATCTATTATCTTTATCTTGATGAATTTTGACATATTATCTTATATCTTTATTTAGATAAATTTTGCATTATCTATTCCCAACACTGATTGTTACTAATAACCACGGTACATCACGTGACTGGGATCTTTTCAACTTTAATGATTCAATAATTTGAAAATTATAAATTGCGAGCATTCAGTATGAAAATTCGCCAAGTAATATTTAGATACATAAATAAACCAAACAAATAGTAAGCTTTGCTTGGAGTATTATTATATTTGTAAAGTACAACCGGTTTCGAATAAAAAATGCATCATTAGGTATACACAAAATTGATAAAATCGCGACTTTTAAATTAACTTATTATTTTTATTAATTTTGTATATACTTGATGATGAATTTTTAATTCGAAACCGGTCGTACTTTACAAATATAAAATTATTCCATGTTAAGCTTTTATAAATTAATTAATACATATATATAAAAACTATTTGTTTATTTATTTATGTATTAATTTACGAGTAATACAATTTTAATTTAACTTTTTATTATTTTATTAATATTTACAATTTTTTTATCGTAAACTAAAAAATATTGTAAATTGGATCTGTAAGAAGTTCGGCGTGCACGCAAACGATTGAACTGAGAAATTTTCAACTCAGTTTTCATAATACATTTACACTACGGATTCAAAGATCTGATAATTTGTTGATTACTAATTGCTTAACGTTAAAAATTCTTTTAAAATTTTAAAAATTTCAATGAAACGTTAAAAGAAAATTAAATTTTTAAATATCCTAATCAACACACAGAAGGTGTGTAGGATTGTGTTTTCATTACTATAATTTTTAATAATATTTATTGCTAGTAGAAAAATGTGTACAAAGCATAAAGGATACATATATGAAATTACTAGTTTTGCTCTACACTGAGGTAATACCTCTTATCGTAGAGCAAGAATACTTATCTATATATAATTTTCAACATAAAAGAGAGAATAAAAAAAAAAAAAAATAATAAGATAAAGTAAAGAATACAATTTAAAAAAAAAATTCACAATTCAATACTAATATAGAAGGAGTACAATAAAAATTTAAGAGAATAAATTGATTTTAAACTATTGCGTGTACGCAACGGATAACATTAAGAATATTGATCAGCATTTAAACGATAATAACAATATTGCAAAAGTGGTCACACGCGTTCTTCGACAATACCGCGATCGCGGTTTATTAGGTAACGCGCAAGCAAGTGCACTGTAGTATGCACACACAAACACGTATACACGTGTAGGGAAAACGATGGGAAAAAAGATCAAATGTTTAATCAAATACATAATGACGTTTACGTTAAACGGTTCGACGTGGGCAAGCCGTACGTACGATTGTTATTAATGTTATGCAGACCAACCGTTGAGACGGGCCGAAGACGTTCGGCCCCGTCGCCGCGACCGTCTAGGAGAGTGGTGGAAACGGCAGCGCAGTGGGAACACCGGAGGAGAACAAATAGAAGAAGAAGAAGAAGAAGAAGGTTTCAGGAACCCTTGTGCACATCACTTTTACCCAAACGATCTTCAGTACGTGCGCGCTGACGGGTGAGATTACAAATGCACAATCGTCGCTAAAGCTGAAGGATCCGCACAGGTAAGTCGACTACTATACGCATCGAATCCGTATGGTTTTATAAATTTTATGTAGTTTTAAGTGTTTCCGACGCGAAAATTCGAGTAGCATGTTTAACGTCGACACTTACGAGATTTTTATAAAAAATAATTCGGTACTCTTCAAAACAACACATTATTTAAACTTTACATTTTATCTTATTCTTCGTGCAGATGTATTCGTTGGTTAAAGTGAAAACCGATTTTTTTTTTTTTTTTTTTTTTTTTTTGTCGCTTACGAAAAACCATAACGCAGCATCAATCGCACGACGTAATCGGCCAAATAAAACGAATTAAAAATTTAATATATTCTCCTGCCGGACCGGACCGGACTTGTCGATCGACCGCAAATCGGTCGGACGGTGTGGTTTTTAGAGGGGAAAAAAAATCATACGTTCCGCGACCATGTATTACGACGATGAATTATTTATGTAAACGAAACAACGATGTTTGTGACATTTTTTCGTCGGCCGTGCCGGGCATAATATTGTGTGTTAAACATTGCGAGATCATCATGCGGTTACATAATTATGTTTATCGCGGTCGACTCTTGGGCGGCTGTACGGAACGCGCGAGTACATTAAGTAGATACAGCGAAGAACACTATGCGCGTCCCGATCGGAACACCAGAAATACTGGTCTCGTGTGAATTATTTTTTTAGATTTTTTTTTTCCCCTCCCGGATGACACTACAAACTGTAACCGGGGTCTGGCGACCGGTCAATACCGGTCCGACGGCTCAGCTCGCGCAGCGATCTGAGAACAGATAATAATCCCGCGTAAATAATATACGTGTTTTTTTTTTTTTTTTTTTGTACGCATAATATACGCGTTACGTTTATGTAATAACAGTGAACGATTAATTACTGGTGTAGTAGTAGTGTATGCTACCGGTATTGTGCACGTACGTAATCCATTCTTGTAAACGTTTCCCGTCCGAACTTGCGACGCGCACAGGATACAACTAAACCGAACTGTAACGGCTAGAAAACGGCGTGGCAGTAGAAAGTCACAAACATATTTTAATTCTAAAATCATTTTTTTTTTTCACCCCGTCACTCGAAATAATTGATTTCCGTCACATCTCGGTTTGTTGGGAATCACGCGGGTTAACAAGAAAAGTGTATTTGATAAGTATTACTTATTGTTACTATAGGTATTATTTTTGATTCAAATATTGCTTATTATATAAATACTACTGCGCACCATCGATCCTCGACTTTCTTCGTTCACTATCCGCTTAACATGTAAATCTAACACGTGGACAGTCATGATGTAACAGGAAAAACCATGATTTTTTTTTTTTTTTTTACAATTCTAATTCGTAGTTGTATGTATACTTCATGTACACAGTGTTAATCGTGGGAGAATAAATACCAGTTCATCTTTTTTTAATAAATAGAATTTCAGTTAACCGTTGCAACGCGTTGTGTTGATACGAATAATCTACGATTAGATTATTGTCCTGTTTTTTTTTTTTTTTTTCAAATTCTAAGTGAGACGAGAAAAGTATTTTCAACGTAGTTATACGTCTGGGTAGTCTTATATATATATATTTATATATTCTTGAAGTACTTACTTAAGTACACATTATGTTGCTTTTGATACAACGATGATATACGTATAAAATAAATAAGCGTTCTACGTTAAACTACGTTCTTCTCTTTAAGACCTTACATACGGACCGATTACACAATAATTTTTTAAATCAATCGTATTTAATATCAATCATTATTTTTAGAAGTCAATAAACTATATTAAATAACATTAGTCATGAGTATTCGACATAGGCAATACACTTCAATAAAATGATATATTATGATATCATCAAAGTAATGTATTAAAATAATATCGGCACATTCCGAAAGTCGTCGACCGTCATATACGCGCGAACAATACCTATGTTATATATTATTTGCAGATTCGTTTCCTGTTGGATGGGTTCATAAATAATGAAACTGGTTTGAAGATTATTCAGACATCGCAGTTTTTTCGTTTACGTGATGCAATAAAATGCAAAACAAATAAATGCATAATTCAGTCGAGAGGAACTATTTCTTTTAATCGTTACAATCGAATGTGGCAACGATCCTAGTATACCAATAATCGCATTACGTGTATTATATGTACTGATATTGTTCGGAGAAACCTCAAACCGTAATATATATAAAAATGTTATAAATCCATAAAAGACTCACGTAGTACACGATATTGGAGCTGATAACATTATGCAAAAGAAAAAATTCATTAAAACATTTGCGTGGAGTGTGTTACTATACGGATGTGAAACTTGGACTATCAGGAAAAATGAAAAGGACCATTTAGAAGCAATGGAAATGTGGATTTGGAAAAAAATGAACAAAATATCATTGGTCTAAAAGAAAACAAATGAGCAAGTATTAAAAGATGTAAGAGAAAAAAAGGAATATGATAAAACGTATATTAAAAAGGAAAACGGAATTAATAGAGCACCTATTCATGTATAACACACTCATGAAAAATATCTTCAAAGGAAAGATCTTGGGGGAAAGGCCTAGAGGACGCCCAAGAACATCATATATCCAAGACCTCGAACATCTCGTGGAAGTCGCAACCTATTCAAAATTGAAAAACATGGCAAATGATAGAGACTTATGGCAACAAGGCAAGGCCTTTAGATGATGATGAACGTTATTGCGTTCGTTTTAAAATTTCTCGTAGCGTCTGTACGGGTCTTCACGAACATCACATACGTCCGCCGGTGTTCGACAGGATCGTCGGTTGGAATAACACATCGATTCACTGAATCGAATAAAATCAACACGATTCGCTGCGAATCGAAATTGTCCGTATTGAATCTACGACGGAATTACACTCGTTGTACCTACAACACTATATATACAAATGTACGTATTTATCATACGCGCCCATCGTGCAAGTTAAGAATTTATCCTTCGTGCGCAAGCATTATAATCGGTGTAATAAAAATTCGCCCGATACTTTCTCCTTCGATACGGATCCTGCGTCTTCGTCTAATGTCCACGGTAAACGATGCGCACAACTATTCGTGAATCCTATTGTTCTCGTATTTGACCTACGTGCATGTATATGTATATATATAAGTACGCAATCATGCCGACTGAATTAACGCGTTACGTCACCGTGTTTACATACACAACGTACAAATATATTTATTATATGTATATTATTTGTATACGCTATATCTGAAACATGCGGAGAAGGTTTACAATATAACGGGTCTACAATAGATAATGGCGTGCTAAAAGCGATGTGATTAAAAACTGTCGGTAAAGGTGTACCTTTGACGAATGATTGGCATTCGTGCGAAAATATGCGTAAGGAATGTTGTGTTCGTGCGCCGGTTACCACACGATATTCTGCGCGAGGTCGTATCTAGAAATTATTTTCGGGGGAGGGGGGGTCCAAAACATGTGTATTTTAGTTTTATTGAATTTAGATTTTAGCTTTTGACGTTTGGTTAAAAATAAGACAGAAAAATATTTAATCTACTTTTATTAAAATGAACATCATATTTTCGTATGATATTATGATTATAAAATTAAAAGCAGTCAATGATTAATTGGAGCTTAAGTCATTTTTGACTGAAAATATTTATGTTGGTATTAAAAATAAATAAATATTTTAAACGTTCGTAAAATATTGAAGAAATTTCGGTGGGGGGGGGGGTCCAAACACCCTGGACACTCCAGATACGGCCTTGATTATGCGTTTCGCAATGAAACATTACCCGACGAAAGATAACACACCGTATGTGTATTGTTTATCTGTAATCGCAAGCTTAACAGTTTTTTGGAACACGCTAAATGAAATGCGTTTCAAAGCGTCGAGTTCGGTATTTTGGTTTCGAAATCTAGAATTGTTTCGTTCGACGTACTCCAAAACGATACGAAAGTTATAATCCGATAAACAAATAATAGCAAAAATCGTAACGCTGCAAACACCTTACTGTTAGTATCGGGCCCGTACTGGCCCGCCGGGCGACCGTGCAGATGCCCATGATAATTACGATGCACGATGCGCCCAGAAAAATGACCGCTACATTAAGATTTTGGAGAGATATCCATTGTTTCTCATTATCGAGTAATAACCCGATGGTCTTCAGTAATACGCCATTGAAAAACGTTTATATTTTTGCGAAGACAAGCGTTAAACCTGAATTATGATTCTTTAACCTGTAATCTATTGTGCCATTGGTAACGTGAAGGATTAAATAACAAAAATTAAGGCGCCCTAAAATATTTTCGTAACCGTCCCATAAGAGCAGCCAGTACGGGCCTGGTTAATACCAAATACTTCCATAAGAGAGCGTGCGTAAGTCACCTTACTATCGCTTGTCACCGATTGCTCGACGAAACATGTGCTTTTTAGAACCGCGTAATGGCCACGAAGACGCATTACGACGTGACGTGTACTTTTAGGTATCGGAAAACGAAATAATATATGCATATTATTATTATTATTATTATTATTATTATTATTATTAACGAACGCGGAGAAACTTAGTCGCGGGGACATTTTTCTATTAAAAAAAAAAAAAAACTATTCGTCCAAATCATTAATTACGTGTTAACGGTACGGATGACTCGTCGGTTTCTTTCCTATTTTTCAGTCCGTTCGCCTTCTCGTGGACTATTACATCGAAAAAATACACACGTGTGCCGCGAGTGTATACATATTTTTAGACACACGCACGCGCACACGTACTTTCTTCCGGAAAGACTCGCGGACGGTTCTGCGGCAGTCATTAGAGGAAAATAAGAGAAAGCCATAGTTATTATATTATTATTGTTTATACGCGCGTAGAAGGTTCACGTAGGAAAAAAAATCAGCTCTAGGTGCAAGTCAGTCGGTAGGTCACGGCCTCGAGGGTGGGGGTCAAACGCGCAGTGGCTATTAATAATAATATATTGTTCGTCACCTCGTCCAAGTAACCGAACAAGTGTACACGAACAGCGTGAGTTG